TGTAGTAATGAAATAAAATATTTTTGTTAATACAATGTTTTCTTTTTTTCGTTTTCTCGTAAGAAAAATTAAATAAGATAAGTATTTATTTTGTATTTAAAATATTTTGAATCCAATTTTTCTTTTTAACCAGTAAATGTGTTGGTTTGTAGAGTTTATTTTTTTAAATTAAGTCAGTGTTTGTGCGCGTATTAGACTCTAACACGTATTCGGGTGCGAAGTACAAGTCTTAGAAAACAAGTAAAATTTACATTAAAGAATATGTGGTATTCTTTTATATGGTATTTTGGATCATAGAATCCAATTTTTTTATTAAAATCATATTTTGCGCGCGTAATTGACAGTTACACGCGTAAACGCACTTTTTACGCTTCATAGGTATGCGTAAAAATTATTTTTAATAGCAAATTTATATTTTTTGACCCAAAATGCAATAGTATTGATGTATCACATGTTTATATATGATAGTTACATAATTTTTGCCGTTTTTTCACTTTTCTGACTTACTGTGTGTCGTTGGCCCTGTGTCAAACAAATAGATTAATGTGATTGTTGACAATTGAGCCGCCCAGATGCCAATACGGTCAAAAAGTCCAAAACATAAAACTTGAGAAAATTAATGTTTTTTGAAACATTAGTTTTTAAAATTCTTGGTTTATTAATTTAATTAGAAAAGTGTATAAAGGCTTTTTTCGAGGTGTAAACTCTGCAATAAAGCAAGGTATGTACAGGATGTATAAATAAAAACGTTAGTATTTATTGAAACAATGACATCATTTAAAAAATTTTAGGACATACCTTTTGGCAGCTGAAAAAGATAAGAAATTTATGTAAAATAATAAAATAACATTTATTATCAGAAGTTTTATGTTTATTTATCGTAACAAACATCATCTTTTTCCGATTAATTTAAATGTAAATCTTGATTTCCACGTGTTATCCACGTGTTAGTCCTGTAAAAGTCGTGTTTAATTGGAGGTATATACTTTAATAAACACATGATGTCTTTTTTTGTTTCTCTTAAAATTGTTCTGCCATTAGGGTATAATATAGGTTAAGTTATATTTTTTAACTTATTGGCCTACCTATTTTTTTTATTTTATTTATATCAACTAAATGAAAGGTATCACCCTCGTCTAAATTATACTTGAACTTAATGCTGCTTGGGTTCATTAAAAATGGATAAAATTTAGTTTCCAATATTATCCATCTTATATTAAGCCAATTGACGAGTTAGTCCACTTGTTGATTTTTTTCTGTTAGTAACAGCTTCTTCCAAAGATTTTGTGGAAAGAAATTCTTGTGGATTCATTTCGACTACTCTGATAGGGTTTTTTCTTTTACTCTTTGGTATTATATGATACCAGTCACTAGGGTTGTAAAGATACGGAATTTATTTGCAAAGGCATCTATAACTGCAAAATCAGCATCATAGGGTAAATAAATGTGTCCACTTAATAAAAAATTTAGCTGTATTAATTCAACTTTTATATCTTCACTAAGAACAAATTTCAGTAAACTTACCACAGTTTTTATATTTCGATTCTGTTCTGAAGATGAATCTGAATACATTATAATTTTTTGAAAATCCTTTACGTGCAGTTTAATGTGTTTAGTTAAACACAATGAAACTTATTGTAAACCCCGCGATGCTTAGGTTATAGGCCAAACATACATGTAGCCCTAGTTAGTTTTTAAATCACGGCAATACATATAAGTTTCTCTTGTAATAAACCACTGATGCGGATAGTTTAGGAAATAGTTATGCTTTTTTTAAATCAAAACTAAACACGTATATTTCATCTAAAGCTCTTAATCAATCATTAGCCATACTATTACGGGCAGTTTCTGCATTTTGCAAGTGTTTGTCATGTTCAATTTCAGCTGCATTTTTTTCTTCATCTATTGTAAATTGTTTTTTTTATTACCAAATAAATCACATTTGGCACAAGTATCTTTTGAAGTTTGCTTAAAATGTAAGTTAACTTTTGTAGGAAATATATGGTAATAGAACTTTTCTTTAACTGGTACAATTTGCTCTTCATTACATCGTTCGACATACAGGTTCTACATTTTTGCAATAGAAAGGTCTGGATTTAAGCATCTGCGTCTGGGATTATAAGCTCTTGTATAATGCCTTGAAATAGCAGGAAAGGAACTTATATGTTTTCTAACATGGAAATCATCTATTTTGTTACCTGGAATTTGTTGCCGCCAGTGGTCCTTCAGATTTTCCTTTAAACAGCAATTATTAGTCACCCGTTACTTATTTGATATGTTTCTAAAAATATTTTTTGCAAACATCAACATCTTGGCTGTTAAGTCTAATAAGATATTCAAACGACTGAGATCTTGATTCTTTGGTGTTATTCTTGGGTCGTTGTCTATTGATAGCATTAACTCCAATAAACCTACTTAAAAAAATATTTTATTATGATGATCATTAAGCTTGTAAAAAATTTTTATCGCCTGTTTTCTTTGATAAAAGGTTATGTTGTAATTACAAAGTTGTAAACAGTTAAAAGGTTTATTTTCAAATTTCTTTGCAGGAATTATTCTTTTATTTCTATTTTGATATTGCTTACCTTGTATCCTTTTTTGTTTCTCAAGAAATCTAAACTATTTCCCAGAATTCCTGCTCCGTTTTCTACCCAATTTTTCGTATTTTTGATTATTTTCTATATTAGCGTTATCTGACGATGTATCAGAATCAATACGGTTAACTCTTCTTGTATTAGGATGAAATATCGTATCACTTTCACTCTGTTCTATTTCCATTGACATTTTTAGTTTTTATACCCTTTCGATAAATCTTCTTTATTATTTTAAAAAGTCAGAGTTTTTACAGTCATTTAAAAAAATTTATTAAATGTTTTCGATAACACAATAATTTTCGCAAATACTTCAACGTAATATTATTGTGTTTTGACGCACATGCATAAAACACAAACAATCGTAGTTAGAAGTAACGGTTACAGTTACTATGAATTTCATGTGTTTAAGTGTTACTAACAAATATCGAAATAAGAACAATAACTTAATTTTTATTTAAAATTATATCTAAAAAAATATTGATAAAAGGTGGACTTATTCACAATGGCTTTTGAAATTATTTTACAGTATATTCAAAATCTATTATAAAAATGGCTGTCTAACCTAGAAAAAAGTAACCAATCAGTAAATCCTTTAATAACTAAGAAGATTACTATTTATTTCATTCAAAATTCCAAAAACTAGAAAATATCAAAAAATGGACTAAACAGCATTGGCTTCTGAATAGCTTAATCATACCTTGTTAATCGTTTATTTTGTGTGCATGTCTGTTATCTTTTACTTTTATTTTCATATTTAATGTTATCTTAGGATTGTTCTATAATTAGGAATGTTCTAAGACAGTGCAAACTATCGCTGAGTTTTTTTGGTAACCCTCTTTTATTGCACATCTTGAAATATGTTGAGGCATCACTAATTCATTAGAGCATCTCTTTAGTAAAAAAATTTCTTCTAAAAACAGGCTGAGCATTTCCAAAACACAACAATTTTTAAAATTTTTACCGCTTCTTCTTCATCTAATAGATTTTTTTTTAATTCTTTTAAATCTTTTGAAATTTTAAGAATAAATAATCTTGCCCAATCACCCATTTTAGAAGCAAATAAGAAGATTTACAAATAGATTTTTAAAAAAGAAGAACGCATTTAAATTTATTTCAAAAAGATAAATAAAAAATTTTTTAATTATTAGTACAGAAGGTTAGATCTATATCCAACCTTTTGTAGTAAAGACTTTTGTAACCAATAACGCTCTAAGGCGCAATGTATACTTGTAATTGTCAATGTAACTTGATATTTTAATTTTAAAAAATTTCCGTTGAATTGAATAATAAATAATGTCAAATAATGTCTACAAATTTAAAAATGTATTTACCAGATATAATTTTTTTAATTGCAATTAAACTTAAAAAATGTAACATACAAAGGCGCAATGTATCAATTTCAACAGAATGATAAAAATCAATATAAAATGATTTAAACATGTTTGATGAGGTAGAACAATAAAAGATAAAAAAAGAACCTACTAAAAAGCAGAACATTAAGTCATTACTCAAAAACCTGTACGAGATAAAAATGATTGACGTATATCAATTTGATCAAGCGTGCCGGACGGAGGGTTAACGTCTGATTTAAAATTAAGCAAACGTTAAATGAAAATTTAACTTTCGAACAAATTAATTCCAAAAATATTCTGCAAAATTTCGATTTTTTTTGTTTCGCTAATAACATAAATTTGAAAAAAAAATGGCGAATACTTTAAACTACAAAAATAATTAAAATTAACATAAATGTTATGATGTGCAGAATATAATTTTATTTTTTCATTATAAAATTAAATTTCTTCAAATTTCAATAAACCAGAAAACTCATGACTTTATCTTAAAACATCAACAACGAAGATTGAATACAATAAAGAAAACATTAAAAAAGAAATATTGTAGTAAAAAAATTATAAATTTAATGAGAAAAAAGTTTATTACCGTAAAAATATATATAATTAAATTTTAGTATTTTTATATAATTAATTCTTTTTAATATTAATTATATTTCGATATTTATAGTTACAAAATAATAAATATAATATTATTATAACAAAAATGATCAAAATTCATAATATATTATTAGAAAAATAATAGCATCAAAAAAAGAATCAGAAAAAATTAAACAAAGTTTGAAAATTTATATATATATAAAAATTATTATATATTTATGCAAAGATACTCTATCAATAATTTTTATTTATAGTTTAATATTATTATAATTATTAAAAATGTTAAAAAAATAATAATTATAAAAAGTTATGTTACACAAATATAACTATATATTTATTTTTAATAATATATTTTAAAACAAATTGATTGTATATTTTATTAATATAATAATATATAACTTTTTTATTTGAATCTAATATATTTAAATTAATTCGTATATTTCAAACCATATTTAGCTATAAAAAAAACTTTAAATATTTTATTTATTATTATATAACTATTTTTTTTATTTTATATATTTAAAATATTAAACATTTTTTTGCGTTATAAAGTTAATTCATCGAGGTTACGAAAGTCTTTTCCACGGTACTCGATTACAAACTTCTTGATGTTCGAACAACGAATCCATTCAGAAATGTCTTTAATGAAATCAATGTCGTCGTGAAGTTGAAGATTTAATTCTTCACAAAGAATAATCCAAGGAAAAAAGTTTTCTTCAAAATCTTTTTTTGTTATTATATAATCTGAGATCCATATATACAACTCTTCAATTTTATCTTTCGGTTTCCATCCTTCAAAATTAATTGGACGATCAAAGCTGACACAGCGAACATTGGTTGAACATCGAATTAAAAGATTTTTTTCTTCATCACATAAAACATTTTTATGAACATTTAACGACCATAACTTTCTTCCAGATTTTGTATAATAATTTACGAAATAATTATCGCAAGAAGTTGCGTAAGAAGATTTTCCATCGTTAATCCAAATCCTTAAAGCAGACCTTTGTACATCAACAATTGATTTGATTTTATCTGTAAATGATGATTGACTTTCATAAAAACATTCGCAGAAAAATTTAAAACCATCAGTAGAAAAAATATTTTTAGATAGACGATCTAAAGAAAAATTTAATGTTAAATACAACAGGCAAAAAAATAACAATAACTAAAATTATAATAATTTTTAATAATCAAAATGTGATATATTTTATTATATATATATATATATATATATATATATATATATATATATATAATATATATATATATATATATATATATATATTATATTATTCTTTTTATATATGCATATATTAACATTAAACTATAATTAAATAAAAATTGAATACAGTTTCTTCTTATTATTTACATTATAATATATACAAAAAAAATGCAGTTTCTTATTATCATTATTAATTTTCTTATTATTAATAAATACATAATATTTACATTATAATATTATAAACATAAACAGTTAATATTAAATTATAAAATTTATAATTTTTACACACTTCAAATTCCCATATATATTTAGACTTTTGAGAGAGCTGGCAGAATACTTATTGGGCGTTATTTAGACTTATCTGATGGGTCATTTTTTTTAAAACATGCAATGACATCAGCCATTTTTAAATAGGATGAGAATTCATCTTGAGATATACTACTTTTAAGACATGAGGTGAGGCTTTTTCAAGAAGAATGGTACCTTAGAAAATTAAAAACGAAAGAGAAATTGCGTAAATCTCTCGGAAGACTAAGATACTCAGCAATCTGAAATTTAGCAATGATGAAGGGAAATAAAGAAAAATTACAACAAAACTTATAAATAAAAAACTTATAAACAAAATAAATTCTTAATAAAAATTATAAAAAATATACTAATTTTATTTACTTGAACATAATTTTTATATTATTAAATTTTATTATAAATGTTGTTATATTTATAATTTAAAATAATGTATAATACATATATATATATATATATATAACTTATAATAATGTATAATATATATATATATATATATATATATATATATATATATATATATATATATATATATATATTCTTGGAGTCATAGGTCACGTGACAAATGGATTTTTTATAGCTATTTTTTATATTTTATAGATAATTTTTATATCATTAAATTTTATTATAAATGTTGTTATATTTGTAATTTAAAATAATGTATAATATATATATATATATATATATATATATATATATATTTATATATATATAACTTATAATAATGTATAATATATGTATATATATATATATATATATATATATATATATATAATATATATATATATATATATATATATATATATACCGTTATATATATATATACCGTTATATATATATATATATATATATATATATATATATATATATATATATATATATATATATATATATATATATATATATATATATATATATATATATATATATATATATATATATATATATATATATATATATATATATATATATATATACAGTTATGGCCATTGAAATCCGACCACTGCTGAATATAAAAAAAAACAATCTAACAATAATATAAGAAAAATATAAAGAAATATAAAGAAACACAGTCAGTAAATAAAATTAATATAAATATTAAATATGTACGATATGTTACGATATGTTTTTCTTTATATTTCTTTATATTTTTCTTATATTATTGTTAGACTGTTTTTCTTTATATTCAGCAGTAGTTGGATTTCAATGGCCATAACTGTATGTATATATATATATATATATATATATATATATATATATATATATATATATATATATATATATATATATATACATACATATATATATATATATATATATATATATATATATATATATATATATATATATATATATATATATATATACATACATACATATATATATATATATATATATATATATATATATATATATATATATATATATATATATATATATATATATATATATATATATATATATATATATATTCTTGGAGTCGTAGGTCATGTGACAAATGGATTTTTTATAGCTACCATTATAGATTAGGAAAAACAAACTGTTAAAGCACCGTAAAAACAACAAGATTAGTATTGTTTAGCTAATTTACAAATTTAAACTCATTCAAATTAATTTACAAATGTTAACTCAATTTAAAAGTATTTATTTTAAATAAGTTTTATGATTTTCTGTTTTATTTATAAGTTACATATTACCCTGTAAAAAAATTGTTAATTTTATTTTTGAGATTTATTATGAAAAAATATTTCAATCGTAATTTCAAATAAAATGAAAAAAAATAAATTACTTTAAACCCAAAACAAAAAATAAAAATTAAAAAATACAAAAAAAAAACATCCTATAAACCTCTTTTATTATTCCTGTTTGTATTTTTTTTTTCTATTTAAAATTCATGTATTTTTTTTAAACTGATGAACTTTTTTTATAAACTAAATAAAATAAAAAAGTTTTAAGACATAAAACTGTAGACATAAGAAATATAAAAATGTAGTAAATGAAATAAAACATAAAACTTTAATTGTAAAATGTTTTTTTACGGATTTAATTTTTTTTAAGTATCCAATTATAGCAAGTTATTTGTTTACGTCATTTTATGGTTCAAAATACGCATCTACAATTAAAACACTAAGCCTACATTGATAAAATTAAAAAATGAATTCCATGAAAAAGACATAGTTAATTAGCTATTTCATAGAATCTTTCTGTTTTTTTCTTACTAGCCTATCTGTAATTATTCTAAAAATATAATCATAAAGATTTACTTTAAAATCTTAAAACTTTCCAGCAGGTTTTAGGTGAATTTGCAGTGGACATTTATAGTTTCACTGTTGATGGAAGTTTTGCTGAACAGTTACTAAGTGGACCATAAGCGGCAATCGCTATAAATAACCAGCCAATAAATTTCCAACATGTGATATTTTGAGTAGTATTACTTTAGGCTATATGCTGTAATATGTTTCTTGTACTGACTGTAACATTTTGCTCTTGCTAATGAGATTCTATAAAGATTTTAAAGCATGTCAGCTTAAAAAACTTTGTCTTGAAAATAGGTGTTTTTTTATAAATATCAGTGTTGACTTGCAATTTTTTTAGAAAATTTTGTTTATAATACATAATAACAACCCACTTCCAAATAGCTAATTGCTTACTCTTACTAAAGTTACATATATAAGCATACATATATTAAATACATAATAACAACCCACTTCCAAATAGCTAATTGCTTACTCTTACTAAAGTTACATATATAAGCAAGCATTTTAAAAGAAGGTTTTATTTTAATTTTATCAAAGTCAACAATATTTGATCATTTAAAGCTAACTTGTAACAATAATTTTTTCATCATCACTTAAATAATCCATCATTACTAACAAATTTGAACTCTGTAAGCATTTTTTAAGATTTTTTGATGATTCAATGATTCGATATCGAGGTCGATTAGAAACTTTGAATAAATTTATTAAAAAAAGATTTATATATTTTTATAAAATTTATAAACTAAAGTATGTGATACAAATTGGGTTTCTTGAATAAGGCTAAAAAATATATAAATGTTAAAATATAAAAAAATCCACTTTGGTAGCTAAGAAAAACCTATATTCTATTTGATCAAATTTAAATTTTTTTTCTTAAAATTACATTGAATGCATGTTTCTAAAAAGAAAAAGAAAATTTGTTTTAAAAAGCAAATATTATAATTCATGTAAGAATCATTTTAAAGAAAAGTTTTACTTTCAAAATCATTTTATAAAATTAATATTTCTTATTAGGAGTGGGCAAATAAACACAATTTCTAGTGGGAAATTTAAATTGCGCTGAAAACAAAAAAAAAAGCTACTATTAACTATAGTTTTACAGTTAGTATTAAAACTCAGACGAACTGTCAATTTACAAAAATTGTAGAAATATTTTATGTTTTTATTAAATCGAAGGAAACAATTAAAAATAAAGTCAGTAAAAATGACAACCTTAAAAAAAAAAAAGAGCTTATATCTTGAAATCAAAATAATATCAAAAATGTTAAATAAAATTAAATGCTTTTAGCATATATATATATATATATATATATATATATATATATATATATATATATATATATATATATATATATATATATTATCTTCTTGTAAAAAAAAATAATTTATTTGAAATAACAAAAAAAAAAAAAAAATGATTATATAAAATAATATTCATAATTATAAAAACACGCTTTAATTATGATGTTTGAGAATTTGATAATTGTCTAAAAATTGTTTACTTTAACTTTTTAGACAAAATTAGTTACTTTTTGAAAAATATATAATATAAAATCTTTTGAAAAAGTAATTTTAAAATTTATTTAAATTTTTCTAAATAAGTTGCTAAATATTGTTAAACACACCAAGTAAAAAAAATAATAACATAAAACAAAATTCATTCTATGGGCATATGCATATTTATCAAAAATGCACCAATTTTAAAACAAATTACTCACCCAAAATAGAAAACAAAAGTGAAGACTCCTCTTTTAATTTTCTAGTAGGATTCAGGTTAACAAGAAACATTATTAAAATATTTTGGTTTTTATTGCTTAATCCACAAATCATTGATAAACAACTCCTCAACTTTATATTGGCCATAATCTGTTCAATGCTTAAACAATTGTATGCATATACAGATGCACAAAACTCCATCACTGTCAAATGTGCGAATTGGTAAAAATAACCAAGATGTGTTTCAACCCTTTCAATAAAACCAAAAAGACTTTCATCAACTTCATTAAAGTTATTGATAAATAGTAAAACTTCTTCTTTTGAAAAAATAAATTTATTTTCAATAAACAATTCAAAAGCTATCCTACAAATAGTTAATACATATTTCTTATTATTTTCATTTGCCATCATTTCATAAACCAATCCATTGTTTTTGATAATGTGTTTTTGCAAAAAGTATAAAAAAATATTTGCATACAATTCTGTCATTGTTAAGAGAGAAGATGTATATATTTTGCTTGAATCACTAATAATTTTACACATGGAAGATAAATAAAATGGAACAGATGCCATAACTTTTGCAATTGGAGACTCCTTTAAAGTTGCTTTAACAATTTCTTTTTTTTCTTCTATAACATGATTTTCTACATAATTTTCAACTCCATTTTGGTTGAAGCCCATTATTTGAATGGTTAACTTATCAATATGCTCTGTATATATATTTTGGTATTTATCAATTGCATAAACTCTACCAGCAACTACATGTTTATAACTTTGAATTTCTGCTAAAGCATTAACAATTGGATAGGTGCAATCTGAATTTGGATTTAGTAATTCATTTAAATATTTAAATTCATCTAATCCATCAATTATAAACAATGTAGCATGCTTACTAATATCAAAATCATTTGGAAGAACTTTGTAAAAAACATTTAGTAATTCATTAATATTCGAAATATTTTGATATTGATTAAGCCTCCTACATTCCAAATAAAATACAAGTTCAACGTTATTCCAAATTAAATTATTTGACCAATCAAGCAAACACTTTCTGAGCAACCATGTTTTTCCAATGCCAGCTATTCCAGATATCAATATTACAGATTTTTCGTTCATAAATATTTCACTATATGGAATTGGTGTATAACTCATTTGCTTTTCAAGAAATTTCTTTCGTTCAACACTACAAACAACATCCATTTGAACATTATGTGCATCAACAATACATAGATCAACAAATTTTTGTATTAGACTAACATTAGCAGGTGCTTTTAATAGAGGTTGAAGTTCATTTATTTTACCATAATATTTAAGATAATAATTTTTTAGTGTTGTGCATATCTCTGATATATCTAAACATAAATCATCATTATCATCAACTTTTGGTTCTCAAATAATTTAAATCTGTAATAATTAAAATGTAGTGTTGTTATGTAAACTTCTAAACAACTTCTTATTTAAAATTATTTAAACTTCGAACTACTCTAATTACCTTTATTGACACGAACTCTGCTAGCAACAGGTGGATTTGAAGAATCTAAATGTTATGAAAAGACTTTACTTTTTACAATGTTTTCATATAAGGTTAATAAAAATTATCTTTTGATTGATCTATTAAATTTAAAGTTAATATTGTGTATGAACACTAAATTCAACCTCAGATACTTTAACATCACACTATCAAGATTAAAAAATGTAAATAATTTTTTTTCATATGCATAAATATAATCCTATATTAATCATATATCTTTAAAACAACATTTGATTTTTAACCTTGATAAAATTTAAAAATTACATCTTTAAAACAGAAACCATAAAAAATGAGGCTGTTGTTAAGAGAGAACCTTGTTAAGTGTTAATACACTATAGTAGATAACTATTATATAAAATATAATAAGTACCTTCTGTTTTTGAATTTTTATTATATACATAAACTGATGATAATCTACTAGACTCCAAATAAGTGTGTGATGCATGCATATTAAGTAATTCATTGTCAGTAGGATCTTGCAAATTAACTAAAAAATTCAAATTCATTGTAAATCTCAATGTTTATAAATTTTCACTAAAATATTGTCATAAAATATTTGGCTGTGTTATGATAAAAATAAGAATGGATTAATAAAGATTAATAAAAAGTGTTATAATAAATATTTTTAAGTTAATACTGTGTATGAACACTAAACTCAACCTCAGATACTTTAACATCACATTATTAAAGATTAAAAAAGTGAATAATTCTTTTTCATACATATAAACATAATCATATATATTAAAATATAATCATATATATAATATATATAATCATATATATATAAATATAATCATAAATATAATCATATGTCTGTAAAAGAGAAAGACAAAAAACATTTTAAATCTTAATAAAGATTAAAAATTATATCTTTAAAACAGAAACCATAAAAAATGAGGCTGTTTTTAAGACAACTTAGTTGAGTGCTTTACTACCTAGTGAATTCTACACTAGTTGTGTAGAATTCAAAGGAATCACAACTAACACAAACTAAATATAAGAATAATTTTTACTCAGTAACACATTATAAAACCTGTTTTTACAGTTATTCAAGTTATTGACATTTAGTGCTACTTTAATGTTTTTATTAAGTTATCAATAATAATATTTGTTAGGTCTTTATGATGTCTTTTGTTGCTATTTTAGACTATTTTAGATTATTTATTATTTCATATTTAACTATTTTAAAAACAGTGTCTAGAAATGTAACTCTCACAAACAATAACAAGTTAAAACACTGCATCTATGCCTCCATGAAAAAAAAAACATTTACTGTTTAAAAAATAATTTAGGGTTATTGTGCTTTATTTAATGAAACACCATCCTCACCAGCCTGTTAGCTTGTTACAAAGCTGTTAGATAATTCTTGGTATCACAATAATGCCTATTTTACAGGTTGCTAAGTGCATCATAATTATTTATTGACAACACATTGTCCATAGATTTTAAATATTCTGAGCTTTTTTTCATAATATCATTATATAATAAAAATTATTATAATTTTTTTGATTAATTTTTAAAAATAAATTTTTAAAGACAAAAATATTAAACCTATCATATCAATAGATAAACAACTTCATTGATAAAAGCGGACACTCTTCACAAAAAGCTTTAAAATTCTCAATAACTAAAAATTACTTTTTTATATTGAGAATTTTTTGGATTTTTTTTTCTGGAATATAGTTTTTTTATTAGAGAAATTATGCATTGTAAATAAAAATTTTTTAAATTTCAAATTTTATTGAAAGTAAGATTGTATTTTTTTTAAAAGTGTCTGCTTTTTGGAAAATTGTCCCCAAAAGCGGACAGTTTAAATTATATGAAAAAAACATAGATAAATTGATAAATTCAATATTTTTAATGTTAAAATATACAATAGTAATACAAACAGAAAAGACTAGAAAAGATAACAATAAAAAAACATAAGCAACCTTGAGCTTGAAATAAAAATAAAAAATGTATAAACTAGGTTCTGCAACTTTTTTTGCTAACAGAGGCAGAGTTCACAGGGCCAAGAACTGCAACTCGATTTTTCACAGGTTTTTCATTAAACAAGCTTTTCACAAGCTTTTCAGTCTCAAAAGTTTTGAGCATATTTTAAAATTTATTACTGGAATCGAAGTTGGGGTTGAGGTTAGAGTTGCAGGCAGAATTAAGATTTGTGTTTGTTAAGCAACTTGAGGCAAAGATCTTGGTTTGTGTGGTGATTTTGTAACTGCTGGTAATGTTATTAAGGAGTTATTAAAGTTTGACCAATTTGTAATTCTGATTTGTCAATCTTGATTTAATAGGAAGAGCACAGTGTTTTCAAATTCAGCTATAATTTGAGAGTGTAAGCTTTGTTGCTTTTAAACAACTGTGAAGTGAAACTTTGGAAAATTATTCTAGACAAGTTGTTGAAACCACTTTCAGCATTAAATTATCATAAAATATCATACAAACACCTTTGATATAGCACAATACACCAAAATTAAGAGACAGCAAAATGTGAGATGAATGGGTGGAAATGCAAATTAGTGTTATATTGTTTTTATTACACTTTAAGACTACACTTAATGACAACTTAATGTGAGTACTAAAACCATCCAAAAGTAAAATATGATGTCCACCAATTTTTTGAATGTGAGGAACAAACATTTAATTGAGCTGCTGCAAAACTTGATTACTTTTCATCCAACCAGATGATGATGTTGTGTAAAGTGTATTTGGTGTGCCTCCTTTAATCCAATCATAATAAAGTTAACTCTCTGATTTTTAAACAGCCAAAGGCAATAGAAGAAGTGTCAGCATAATGACTTTTTTTGTAAAAAAGACATTGTGCTGACTTATTTTGCCACTACTAACTACTGAGATCTTATTTGATTTCAAGTTGGATAACGTTGATTTTGGTATGGGGTAGAATCGAGCAGCAGGTCTTAAGCTCAATTTGCAATTTTCAATCTTATCTAATAATTTTTTTATTGTCTCCTCAGTATAAGGTTTCTTGTTTGTTTTATTTTTTGACAATTTGTTCAAAATGTTCAGTAAATTCAATTTAGTTACAGATTTAGAGATTTTCAAAATTGAAATTAAGAAAAAATGAAAAAAATGAAATTAAAGCATCTTTGTAGTTACTTGGTTGACTTTTGCACTTTGTGTGCAAAATTAATTAATTTAAAAAAGTAAAAAATTAATTCACATGAAATTGTGAAAACAAATTTAACCCAAATTCAACAAGTGTAAAAAATAATAAATTAAAATAGCTAATTGATTATTATTTTAAATATAAAGGTTGGATATACCTTTTAAATCATATACCAAGTGCTGAGACATAAAAAACCACAGAAAAAAAGTCACTGTTAACAAAATCAATTAAGTTTTAAGGTAGTTTTTAAATAGAGAAGTAAAATTATTAAAAAAAAAAACAAAAAAAAAATAATTTAAGTTTTATTTGATTATTGTATTGCTGTATTGTATCAATGTCATGCAATTTTGTGCATTGGTTATGTTGGAGTATATATATATGTTCTGAAATCTCGATATTACTCATTAAAAGATTTAACAAGTGAAAGATTTAAAAGATTTAACTAATTAATATGTAACTAAATTTTCCACCCTAAACAGTTAATATTGCTGGTTTCAGTATATAAAAGGTCTGAAGATTTCTTTGACCCATCTAACTATCACCCAACTGGTTACTTACTGTTTAAAATCAAATGATCTTTATTTTTAGCTTTGAAGTAGAAGATTTTTAATAAAAACTAGTTTGTCTTCTTCATTGAATGTTTCATATGATATATCTAGAATAAATCACTTTAAAGAAAGTGTAACTTTATTTCATACAAAGTTTACAATGTTTAATAGCTGAAGGAGAAAAGTCGAAGGAAAAATTTATAGCTGAAGATGTTTGAAGGAAAAAAGCTGAAAGCTAAAGTATAGTTATGAACTTTTAAACAATAATAGTGTTAAAGTTATTCTATGTTCTTCAGAACTGAAAAATAACTATATGAATAATAAGGTAAGATATTTAAAAAGTCGCACTAAAGTAGCAGAAAACGTTTGAAAAAAAAAACTCTGTTTAAAAAATGAAAAAATTTGCCACAAACAAATATAAAATAAGAAAGTTTTAAATCTAAACAATTTAGAAGAAGACTTGATAATTAGTTGTTCTGAGATTAGACTTTGGATAATAACACAACGATTTGCCAACATCATGACTGTATTCACTTATAGAATTACGCCACACTCCATTTAAATCAACTTGTTTCTGCCCGCAGCAACCTTGTTTATCAAGGTTTGTGTTTTGGAGTTATAAAGTTGAGAGAAAGTTATAATCACAAACACCCTCCTCGCCTGTAGTGACCTTCTTGGCCTTGGGAAGGTGAATAACAAAAAAAAAAAAATTGCTGTGGTTTATTCAATTACCATTTGACTGATTTTTAAGGTCTAATACTACCTCTAAAAATATTTCAATACTAATAAATTTAGTATTAAGGGTACCACTACATATACTTTTTAAAGTGTTGTTTTTTGAACCACCCCACACTGTTCTTATTTTGATATTTTTAGTCAGTTGCTTTAACTTCAGGCTTCAGTAAACTTTTCATTTATACAATATTTATACAATATTATACAAATTTACTTTTATTAACCAATCTTTTTCAGCAGGATCACATCAAATGGAAACTGAAAAAATCATGGTTTGTGTCTCAAATAAAAGTTATTTTTATTTTGAGACTAATTTAAGATAAAATTGCCAACTAATGGCACACAATAAAGTTTAAATAAAATTAGTTTTAACAATTATATACATATATATATATATATATATATATATATATATATATATATATATATATATATATATATATATATATATATATATATATATATTATATATATATATATATATATATTTTAAAATAAAACTTCTTTTTATGGATTGATTTCTATTTGCAAAAATTAAATTTATTTTTACGATATTTCAAGGGAATATGGATACCCTCGTTATCAAGTATATAAAAACCGTTATAAAAACAAAACCGCTATAGCGGTTTTGTTTTTACAACGGTTTTTATATACTTTTATATATATATATATACTTTTTATATATATATAATTATATATATATATACTTTTATATATATATACTTTTATATTTATATATATATACTTTTATATATATTAAATTATATTTATATTTATATATACTTTTATATTTATATATATTATATTTATATATATATATACTTTTATATATACACTATTATATTTATATATATACTATTATATTTATACATATACTATATATACTATTATATATATATACTATTATATATATATATATATATATATATATATATATATATATATATATATATATATATATATATATATATATATACTATATATACTATTATATATATATATATATATATACTATTTATATATATATATATATATAAATATTTATAATATAATATTTATATATATATAAATATTTATAAT